AGGGAAAATCTATGTTTACTGAAACTGACTATAAATTAATTATTACTGTTAGAAAAAGGGGGACATGCCCATCCAACATCAAGTCATCCCTGCAGGGATTAGTTTTTCAGCTTCAAGTATACGATTTGCACATTGAATTAAAATCTGGTAGAGGTCTAGCATTGGCAGGCACGCTTGTTTTAGAGCATTTTATAGAACTTTGATGCAGTAAAGTCTAGTGAGATATTTATACACGTCAGTCTGGTTTTAGAAAAAGTTTGGAAAAAGAAAAAGTGTACATAGGGATTGTCAGCGTTACTACTTCTTGTGGAGTGTAATTTAAGGCTATTTGCACAGCAAGGCTGGAACACTGTATGTCAGACTCCCATTGCTAATCAAAGGAAAAACTTTCAGAACAAGATCAAATCCTATGTTAACCTGTCAATGGTTCCTCAGTTGTCACAAAAAATATGTCAGAATGAACACAACAAGGTCATGTAGAGAAGGAAGAGTCCAGGTAAAAAGACAGTGGTGCTTTAAAAAAAGTTGTGTAACAGTGTTGAGGAAGGCATTCAAACTTAGCATATGTGACAGAAATCCAGGTTCAATTAAATCTGGATTCATGTCCCTGTTCCAGTCAAAATGTAATTATTTATGGAGAATAAAAAAAAATTACTCTGGTGTGAGAGATTGATAGGCTCCCTCTCCATCATCCAAAAGCACAGGCAGTAGAGCTCTTACAATCCTCAGTACTTCTTGTGCGCTGTGCGAGGGCCAGAACCGCTGGCTATAAGGAAGCCCTGCTTTTTTTCTCTTTCTGAGCAGAAATTCCACCTGGTACCCATATATTTTCTGTCTTTTAGAGACTTGCTTAGCAAGACCATGATCCGGTCAGCACTGAGGTTTTGATTTTCTGGGGGTACACATGCCTGTTCAGGGTTTAGCAACTCACTGTGTGCAGTGCTTGGAGGAAATGAAACAACATTAAACCCCATGGAATTAAATTTTTCCTCACTTTGGAACCACCTTAGCCTCACGTTTAAGAAATAAAAAAGCTTTGTCTTAGCCCCTCTCCTCTGCCCACTTGGTAGCTGCACTGTTCTGTAGGAAACACTGATGCTGAAGTACTGGCTTCTTGGGTGGTTTTGAGGGCTTCAAACGTGTATGAGCATTTGCTCCGGGATTCTGACCCCTGTTCAGTCTGGCCATGGGGAGATGCTCATCACATGTACATCCCATGAGACTAATCACAGTGAAGATGTAGCAGCATTTATTACAGGGATAAAACCCCAGAACAACATATTAGAGAAAGGGATTAGTTAGGAACTGTTTTTATGGATTTTCTTTTTGAACTTGGTAGACTTAGAAGGGTCACGGAGAGGGATGAATTCCTGAATTCTTGATGAAAAGTGCTTTCATCAGATGAAGATAAGGCAGGTTTTTTTTTTTTTCCCTTTCTTTCTAAAACTGCTAGAAGTGCATGAGTGACAATAGTTCACAGTATATGATACAAGGAGACTGCTCAGAGAAAGCTGTGAATGGGCAAGGTCCAAAGCAAATGTAAACTAAACAAAACGGTCACGTATTAATAGGATATTATGTAGTCTGTACAAAAATATCTGCTTTATTTTTAGTTGTTAGTCATACATACTGACATCATTTGTGTGTCTGCCACTCATGAAAGAAGGGCCATGGCTGTTGTAAAAATAAATCTGATAACTTTATTTGTACAAGAACAATCCTAATCTTATGTTTTCTCATACATGAAGACGAGCTAGCTTCATTCCTCACTGAAACACTTTTAACATATTTTGTTTCTTTCTTCATTTTGTATCTAAAAGTCCATAGCAATAAATCTGCCGCAGTCCAAACTCACACATGCATATAAAGTATCTGTAAAATGTATTTTAATCAGCTTTTGCATTGCTAAATTTAATTCTTATGCTGGAAATCAAGTGGCCTCTTTTATAACAGAACTCAGATGTATGAAGAGAATGCAATGCTCCAAAGTTCTTTGTGAGCTAAGAATTAGCAGTTTTCTGCGTCATGCAGATAAAGCAATACAGAAGTATCTGCACATCCTCGGGAAGGTTACCTGTGATTCAAATCTGTACTGCTATACCTTGTTGGAAAGGTAACAGATACAAGTTCCAGGTACCATTCAACATGGGGCAGACAACCTCCGGTCACTTAGAAACAAAACATTCAAAATTGTTTTCAGAATCTATGTTAGATTAGAACATCCCTGAAATGCATATGAATTAGCCCTCACTGACCTAGAAAGAAAAAACCCCACATGGTTGCCTGATTCAAATACTTCAAGAACTTTTGAAGTCTCACCCTGCTCAGAGTTTTTTCTTGTCTTACTATGTGTTCTTATTACAGCATTTCCATTTGCCATGTGATTTCTAGTTATTTATTCCAGTTTTCAGGCCCCAGATTATACTATAGTTTGTCCATGGGTGGCTTCCAAGTGTAAATTTTTACTTTCCTCTCTTATTTTTGTTGCCTGCCCTGATACTACTATCTCCTCTCTCTCACCTGGAAGGCAAAGAGAATACAGGGCTAATTCTGGAAATTCTCAGTTTCTTTAACTCTTACTGTGATTAAACGAATTTTC